AAACTATTAGAGTACCACAGGGAATAATACTCAGTCAACGTAAGTTCACCTTGGATTTACTGGTTGAATTTGGTTGTCTAAATCTGAAACCGGCTCCTTCTCCAATTGATCCTTCTTGTCAGCTTCATATGGATGTTGGGGACTTGCTATTTGACCCCATAATTTATCGAAAGTTGATCGGCAAGTTGAATTACCTCACTCATACTCGCCCTGACCTCTCCTTTGTAGTGCAATACCTCGGTCAGTACATGCAATCTCCTCGAGTACCTCATTTTAAAGCTGACATGCGTTGTCTATGCTATCTCCTCACAAATCCTAGTATAGGATTATTCATGTCATCTGCATCTTCTTTTGATTTGTTGGCCTTTTGTGACTCTAATTGGGGTCGATGCCCAGATTCTAGGCACTCTATCAGTGGGTATTTCATCTCTTTGGGAGGAGCTCCGATCTCTTGGAAGTCAAAGAAACAAGCTTTGGTTTCTTTATCTTCAGCAGAAGCGGAATATCGCTCAATGCATCGTGTTGTTTCAGAAATCACATGGCTGGTGAGGCTTCTTCAAGATCTGTCTATTTCTCCCTCCTTACCGGTGTAAGTTCACTCAGATAGCCAAGTGGTGATTCATATCGCTCGCAATCCGGTATTCCACGAGTGTACCAAACACGTGGATCTCGACTATCATTTTGTCCGGCATCAATATCTTGCCGGTCTCATTTCCTTGTCTTTCGTACCCTCTACTTCACAGATCACTGACGTATTTACAAAGCCCCTTTTCTGGCCCTAACCATCGGCTTATTTTGGGCAAGTTGGGGGTAGTTTCTCCACCTTCCAACTTGAGGGAGATGTTGGCATTAGGATTTTAGATGAGTTGTTGCCCGATGGTGATTCGGGAAAGAAACGATTTTTAGATGGAGAAGAACAAATGAAAAAAAAAAAGCAGACACAAAGTCAAAATTTCGGATTTTACAACGTTTAAAGAGATAGCACACACTGCCTCAATCACCACCGTTTATTTAAGTTTATGATAGATCTAATCCTAGCCATTCTTTATTAGAAGGAAGAGTATTGGTGTCAAAACACTCCATTTGCACCATAGGTATTTTAGATTGATTTATTTTTTGAAGAATATTCTTTTTCTAAGTTAGTTACACATTAGCTCGTAGATAGGTGACAAGTGTACAAATAGGATTACATTCTTTCTTCATTCTTTTTATATAAATTCATGTGCAGTGCTTATTTTGAATGCACAGAAAATTCAGCTACAAGCTTTTTCTTCATTCTTCTTATGAATTATAACACGTTTTAACCCTACTATAGGACTTTTCTGATGCAAATTTGAATTTAATCGCGTCCCAATCGCCAATCGGATACCGGACACCGAATAAAATAAAAAACAAATAGAAGATACAAAATGCCTAACCCAACCCCAAAAAAAAAGAAAGAAGCACTAGACTAAATCTGTAAATAAACGATCTTGAATACGTTTCCCGAATAGCTAAAGGTATCACAATATGAACACCTCTGATAACAATTATCCACGTAGTCTAATGTACTGGAAATATGAATTTTGCCAAGGAAATTATCTTCACGACGAAAAGAAGATGAACAATGATTTCTATCACTTACGAATAAAAGTCATTTTTTTAATAAATAAATTAGATAAACATTTAGTCGTCGTTGTTGTCAAAACCTTCAATAATTAAAAATAACAACAAAGCACAATCTTACTCAATCAGCTTTCACCTTGTACGATTATCATGTGCTACTGTCACCTGCGGCTAAGGTGAAAGCACCATTAATAGTCTCACGAAAAGACACAGAATAATCACATTAATGTTGCAATTCATGGAATATTTTGTATTCCATTTTTCCATTTCTTGTGGTTTTGTTATTAAGTTAATAGCTTATATTTCCGATAATCATAATAATAGGAAACATCATTTGATTTGTTGATTTCTTGTAGAAGCATAGACTAAGGACATAATTCTGACAACAAATTTAAACTTTGCCATTCACTTCTAAGGCAAATGTATAATCAAGTTCATAAAAAACTTGTATAGACCATAATTTCAGTGATAGTTATATTATACTAGCTACTTCACTATTAATATTCTTAAATTTTTATTTTGGTACGATGCATTTTTTCCCACGAAATTAAACAAGAAAAAATCAACATTTTTCCCGGAAGATATTTTTTATGTCATACCAAACACACATTACTCAACAAATAGAAAGGGTTATTATAGAGTGGTAAGTAACTCTTTCATCCTTAATCAGAGGTCTCGGGTTTAATTTTTGGGAGTGGGTCGGTTAGGGAGCGCTTTACCCTGAGATTTTCCGATGCAAATTCAAAAAGTACCCCCATCATACTAAACCTCTCCTTGTGATCGGGATGAGGTAGATGCCTCCCAGCCCTAATGCGGGTATTAACACCGAATGGAAACCAAAAAGCCAAATAAAAGATACAAATGCCTAACCCCCACCCCCCCCCCC